GTTGGCAGACTATGTGAGAAATTCTTATCTCTGTGCCCGGAATAGTCGATCCGGGCGTATCGCAAGCTCTTCGAAACATTGGCTGCCCCATTAACGGAGGTTTCCGAGCAAGTCCTAGAGAGTTCGTTTGTCAACGGATTAAAGCCCGAAATCAGGGCTGAAATTCGGATGTTGAAGCCCAAGGGATTAGGTTGAATTATGGAATTCGCCTAGCGGATAGAGGAGCATAACCTACTAGTACGTGGCCCAAAGGCCCACAACTTACAGCCCAGCCCGGGAAACAAATCAAGTTCTGGAAACCCTGAGTTTGGACCTAGGGGGGGTTCAGTTCAAGCTGGGTTGGGACCGCGAGGGGGAATGGCGCTGTGGGGAAGGCCGACCCCCACCTCAAACCGACCATCGAGCAGCAGGACTGGAGCGGCACCGTTCCGGCGTTTGACCGACGCCGAACTTCAGGCGAAGAGGGAAAAAGGCCTATGCTATTGCTATGATGGGAAGTATGTCTTTGGGCACCGTTGCCCTAGAGTTGCACGTGCTCATCGTGCGAGATGAAGAGGATCACGGGGTGACACAGAAGGAAAGGAGGAGGCACTCGAGGAAGGTGAAGTGGTGGAGCTCTCCATCAATTCGGTGGTTGGACTCACCGCCCCGAAGACTATGAAGCTCTGAGGAGTGGTTCGTGGGAAAGAGGTAATAATCATGATCGATTGTGGGGCGACTCACAATTTTATTTCGTTTGACTTGGTGAGACGATTGGATTTACCTATAGATCGGACTTTAAGGATATGGGGTGGTTATGGGAACGAGATTATCGATTAAAGGGGAAGGAGTTTGCCGCGGGGTGGCGGTTTCGCTGCAAGAGGTAAAAATTGTGGAAGATTTTCTCCCCTTGGAGTTGGGCAGCGCATACCTTATTTTAGGGGTTCAGTGGCTGTAAACTTTAGGGATGATGACAGTGAATTGGAAGACTTTACTGATGAAATTCAGTCTAGGGGAGCGACAAGTGACACTGAAAGGGGATCCCGGGTTAAACAAATCCCCAGTCACCCTTAAGGCCTTAATGCGCGCCCTTAAGCAAGAGGGGCAAGGTATGTGGGTGGAGTTGAATACCCTGGGGATAAGACCAGAGGAAGAGGCTGCGGAGGCACCAGAGGAGCTGCAAGCCGTGTTACAACAGCACTCGGCAGTGTTTGAATCTCCAATGGAATTGCCACCAAAACGGGCAAAGGATCACTCAATAGTGTTGAAGGCAGGGACTTCCCCGATTAACGTCAGGCCATACCGCTATCCACATATACAAAAGGACGAGATTGAACGTTTAGTGGGGGAGATGCTAGCAGCAGGTATAATCCAGCCTAGTATGAGCCCATACTCCAGTCCGGTCCTCTTGGTGAAGAAGAAAGATGGAAGTTGGAGGTTCTGTGTGGATTACCGTGCTCTAAACAAGGAGACAGTGCCGGATTGTTTTCCGATATTGGTAATAGATGAATTACTCGATGAACTCCATGGGGCTACCATCTTCTCTAGTATTTGATCTCAAGTTGGGGGTACCATCAAATTCGTGTAAGGTCGGAAGATGTGCCCAAAACAGCTTTTCGCACGCACAAGGGGCACTACGAGTTCCTTATCATGCCGTTTGGCCTCACGAATGCCCCGGCAACCTTTCAATCACTCATGAATGACGTGCTACAAGCTTTTCTCCGTAAGTTCGTCTTGGTTTTTTTTTTGACATCCTAATCTACAGCCACACCATGAGGGAACATGAGCACCATTTGGATCAGGTATTGACCGTTTTACAACAGCACCGCTTGTTCGCCAATGGGAAAAAGTGTAGTTTCGAGCAGAACTCAATCGAGTACCTGGGGCATATTGTGTTTGGGAAAGGGGTGTCGGCAGACCCGGCCAAGGTGGAGGCTATGGTGCTTTGGCCTTCCCCCACGAACTTGAAGGAGTTGCGTGGGTTTCTCGGGTTAACCGGCTATTACAGGAAGTTTGTGGCAGGTTACAGCCACATCGCGGGGCCATTGACGAACTTACTGCGAAAGGATAATTTTCACTGGGATGAGGAGGCCAGCAGTGTGTTTGCTGCACTTAAGCACGCCATGACAGTAGTGCCCGCCCTAGCCTTGCCCGATTTCAACAAACCATTTAGTCAGGCTCTTTCCGCACTAGCACGCAGCAAATCCATGTATGAGCGAGAATTGATGGCCATAGTCCTAGCCATTTAGAAATGGCGGCCATATCTCTTGGGCCGACATTTCGTGATCCGCACCGACCAATGTAGCCTCAAGTACCTGCTAGAGCAACGCCTAGTGTCTCCAGAACACCAGAAGTGGTTAACTAAGTTGATGGGATACGACTTCGAGATCCAGTAACCAGGATCGGACAATAGGGCTGCAGACGCTCTCTCCCGCCGTGTTAGCACCCCGGACTTAAGTGCCTTGTCACTGGCCCCAATTGTCGACACCAGTGAACTGCACCAGCAGGTATTGCTTCACGAACACTTAGCTAAGGTATGGTCCGAATTACAGCAGGATGCTACAGCACATCCGGGTTTTTCCATTACTCAAGACAGGTTATTTTACCACGGCAGAATGGTGGTACCGCGGGAGTCCCCATTTATTAAAAAACTGTTGCATGCCTACCATGATGGTGTCTTGGGAGGACACTCATGCGTATTGAAGATGTACCGGAGGATTGCAGCGGAATGGTATTGGATTGGTATGAAAAAGGATGTCACTGCTTATGTAGCGGCGTGTGCAGTGTGTCAGCGTTGTAAGACTTATACACTGGCCCCTCGTGGTCTCCTACCCCTTACCTATCCCAGACCGGGTGTGGGAGGACCTTTCGATGGACTTTATTGAGGGCTTACCGCGCTCAGAGGGATATGACACCATCTTTGGTTGTCGTGGATCGACTTAGCATGTACGGGCATTTCCTTGCACCGAGACATCCTTTTTCCACAGAGATCGAGGCCAGAATCTTCATTCGGGAAGTAGTGCGCCTCCATGGGGTGCCCCGTACTATCGTGTCGGATCGCGATCGCATTTTCCTGAGTCATTTTTGGACTGAGCTCCACAAGCATATGGGTACTACTTTATCACAGAGCACGGCCTACCACCCCCAATCCGACGGCCAAACCGAGGTGGTCAATAGATGCGTGGAAACGTACTTGCGTTGCTTCACTTCGGACAAGCCCAGCCAGTATTACAAATGGTGCTTGGTCGGAGTACTGGTACAACACTGCTTTTCATACAGCCACCCGCACCACTCCCTTTCAGGCAGTATACGGCTGCAAACCACCTCCACTGTTGCGTTATGGCACAGGCTCCTCTCCGGTGGATTCCGTGGAGCAGCACCTCATGGACCGCGATGCAATGCTGGACCTTCTCAAGTTTCATCTTCTTCGCACCTAGCAAAAAATGAAGTCCGTGGCCGATAACAAGCGCCGGGATGTCCAGTTCACCGTGGGGGACTCAGTGTACCTCAAGCTTTACCCCTATCGTCAGTTGAGTTTGGCGCGCAGGCGCAATGAGAAGTTAAGTCCCCATTTTTATGGCCCCTTTGAGATCATTAGCTGTGTGGGGCCAGTGGCATACAGCCTCAACCTTCCAGCGGAGGCTGCTATCCACCCGGTGTTTCATGTCTCTCAACTATGCCGTGTTGTGGGGCAAGGATAGCCTATTTCCGCCTTGCCACCACATCTCACAAAGGACTTGGAGCTACAGGCAGAACCAGCTGCCCTTTCTTGGAGTGCGCCAGCGGGTACATGGGGGACGCTCAGACCCAGAGGTCCTGATACATTGGACTAATTTACCTGCCCATGAGGACACGTGGGAATCCTATCAGGCCATAGACCAACAGTACCCTCACTTCCACCTTGAGGACAAGGTGCGTCTTTGGGGCGGGGGTAATGATAAGCCTCCCCTACGATTCACTTATGTACGGAAGAGACTACGTGAGAAGGGTCGTGCGGGGACAGGAAAGGAGATGGAAGCTACAGCACAGGGGAACACTTCTCAGGACGGTTAGGAGGGGGCTGAGTTGGCACGAGAGGATAAATTGGGTTGAGAAAGGGAAAGGTCTGTTAGTTAGCTGCATTGGAGTCTGTAACTAGGGAAATGTGATCGAATAAATACGGAGCGAGGGCAAGAGAGAAGGGCATCAGAAAAGTATAGATCTGAAGATAGTGAGGGAGTGCACGGGGTCACTCGAAAACCCCCATATCCTACAATCTTTCCCGATTTTCTGCCAATTAAATTCCATTGATCCAGTGAATTTACTCATATTTCTGTGTAGACGTGTGCTTGCAATTTGTTATTAGCCTGTGAGTTTATCATCATGTTTGTAATGGTTTCAACCATTGTAGCCCCTACATTTGGATAGCACCCAACCCTAACATTGAAATACAGGCAATCACATAGGATCAAAATTCATGAACCATGAGAATGAAAACCTTACAAAATGCAAAACCAGTCTGTCCTAACTATGCTTCTGCGAATGTGTAATCGCAGTTCAAAGGCTTAGATCTCCATATTTCTAGTTCTTGAAATATCTGATCTTCTCTGGGCTTCTAATCCATTAACAAGTATCTTCCTCCTTGCTTGCTAACTAATGTTTACTCCAAAAAATAATATCGAATTAATAATGCAACTTAATACAAAGCTACCCACGAAATAACTCCAAAATAATACAAACAAAATGAAGGAAAATCCTCAATCACATTGCTGCCAAAATCGAAAAATTAAAAGCCTTCCCTGTTCTAAAAACCCTAATTTCCATTCCAGCCAATGAGAGAGCCCCGGAAACCAAAAAAAAAAAAAAAGTGCAAAATCTAAATTCCAAATGATCGACAATTTAATAAAAACGAAACTAAATCTCTAGGGATAAACGTAAACATAAAAAAGAAAAATTCAGCGTAAGAAATTACTGAAGAATTAGGGACCAAAAACGAGATTAAACGCGGTAACAACAATGGAGGAAAATTTAAATGACTGGACCTGCGTAGCTGTTGGTGACATCGACGGTGCCTCTGAAGGAGCTTCCGAGTAGAACTCCGAGGACTCGCTTCCGAGTGTCTTTGGCGACTCGGTTGTAGTTATCGACAATGCTGAGCAACACCAACGGGTGGACTATGACCTTCTCGATGGGCCTCGATGATATCTGCTGAGTCTTTATCACGTCCATGGAGATTTTCCGATCTGTTTTCCAACGATTTTTGGAATTTCTTCGTTATGAAACTGTAGTCTGAATTGTGTGTTTTGGGTCGCTCGAGAGAGTTCCGAGCGGAAGGAGAAAACCCCTAATAGAAGAGCAGAATAACGACAATAAAAAAAGTGAATTCACTGTCCAGCCCTTATTGTTTCCTTGTATTACTACTGTTACCCTAGCTGCTGAGACCGTCTCCTCCGTGATAATAAAGGGTACAAATGGCATTTAATTTTCGTCCCACTCGGAAGAGATGCTGCGAGCAGGCGCCTTAAGAAAAGGTTCTTGGCGCAATTACTCTGAACTTGTTAGTGATTTAATAAATTACCTTTTAAAATTTACATTTTAACAATTAACTTCTAAACTTATTAAAATATTGTAACATGTCATATTTTACTAAATTTGTTCAAATGCTTTTATTAAGGTCTCATTCAGTTCGCCGATTTAAGTTCGTGACTTTATGTGAGAGCTTTTAGCTGTAACAGAAAAAATGTGACTTTTTGTGAAAATTTTTAACTGTAACAAAACTGGAATTGAAAACTCGAATCGGTGAAATGAACGATGCCTAAATTTAAGAGATTAAAAGTTTAGAAATTGAAAGATTTGTATTACATTTGAATTGAGATGTTAAAATTTTTCATCAAATTTGTATTTTTTACATTAAATTAACATAATCATCATCAAAATGAGGCATATTGTAACAATTTTATAAGTTGAGGAGCAATTTGTCAAAATTAAAAATGCAGGAAGTAAATTACTAAAACCATAGAAGTTCAAGGACAAATGTGTAAAATACTTGTTAAAAAAATGTGCAATTACCTTTTTACACCGATAAAACCTATCCAATTTAATTTGGAAACTGCAAATAATTGATAAGTGTGGATTGGATTGAATGATATTTTCTTAAATGTGCACTTGTGTGGATGCGAATGTAGATTGAGCTTAAAAAGTAACGGATCCTTATATGTATTAGTCAAAAACATGCGCTTAGCGTGCGCGAGTCATTTAAAACAACAGTTATATAAATCGTTAAAAAAAGAGGAAGAAAAAAGAAACAATAAAAGAAATAAGGTAAAAGTGGGAAAAAAAAAAGATTTGAAGCAAAAGACATAAAACAATTAAGAAAAAAAAATTTTGTGCAAAATGTTCGCAATAGAAGCTTAAATTTATGAGAATTATAGGTAAAAGATGTTTATATATGAACACGTTTGAGAATAAATTAATTCAGTCAGGTAATTAGAAAAAAAAATATTTTTAAAAGTTGTAAGAAAAGTATTTAAATGAGATATGTTTAAAAATACATAAAAATCAAAGGCTAAAAGATGTAGTAAAAAAATAATGGACTAAAAAAGAATAAGAGAAAAAGAAAAACTAAAAAAAAAAGGTTAAAAAGGAAAAGAGAAAAAAAGCTAAAAAAGTTAAAAAGAAGAAAACATTGGCGGGCAACGGGGAGCAATGAAATTCCCCCAAAGAAACCTATTCTCTCTTATGAGATAAGTATAGTTATAGATTAAAATTAAAGGTTAAAAGATGCAATAAAAAAGATAAGTGAGGTAAAAGAAGAAAAAAAAAGAACTTAAGAAATTAAAAAAAAAAAAGGAGAAAAACAGCTAAAAAGGTTTGAAAAAAGTTGGTGGGCAATGAAAAGAAAATCTTAGTTTCTGTTTGGAAGGTATACTCAAATCATAATTTTTAATTCTGACGTTTGAAATGTAAGTTTTTTGTAAAAGAAAAATACTATAACAGAATTAATGATTTAAATTTAAATATACGAGACAAACAGACCCTTAGTTATGATATCAAGTCAAATATCATATTTCGATAAAGAAACATAAACCGTGTAAATGCTAGCCAATAAGCAAACCAGCCACTAATTGAAAATTGTCATTAGAGTTTTGTAACAACTCTTATAAAACTTCTGAAATTAAAAAAAAAATGCAATATAGATGATGATTTGATCTTCTCTTTATTACGAGCACATTAAAAAAAATCACCTCAATCGAAATTGAAACGGAGAAGTTATGCATTTTTAAACTTAAACTTGAGAAAAACAAAATTTAGATTTTGAATTTAGGAGGGTAAGATCAATTCTAAAATCAAGTGTTTAAACTATTATTAATGATTTGAATTGTCCTTATTTAATTATCTACGACATCAATTTGAACTTTTAACTATAATTCGAATTGAATTTTTTGATTTAGAATGTTGAAATAAAAACACACAAAAAGTCTTTTTCTTATAACTCAGAAAAATCTTTTTAATTAATGCTAAAACTAACGGGTTGCTTAACCTACTATAACAAGCCATATCACCACTACGTCATTAATGAAAAAGAAGATATGTACTATTTTTCTATAATTCCATTAGTAATCAGAAACGTAACCAGGGTTCAAAACAAGGTTATGGAATTTGACTTTTTAACTTTCATGAAATTATAAAATCATTATGACCTGTGATTTCCGAAATCACAGTGACATGAAATTATGGAAATCACAGGTCGTAGGACTGGTTTATGACCTGTGATTTTCGAAATCTTAAGTCCCTGCCACTGCTTCCTCTCCAAATCGCCGCCATTCCAAGCAACTGATAGTCGGGGAACATTGAGAAAATCGTCGCTATTTACTTACACAGGTTTCAAATGTTGACCTATTCACTATAATTTTCCAATAAATAACACCTAAAATATCAAGGAGAAACTGGATATGCCGACCGAAATTGGATGGTGGGATGGGTTTACGTGACATGGTAGCTTTTAATCGAGCACTTATAGCAAAGCAGGGGTGGTGGATTTTGACAAATCCGACATCTCCCACGGCCCAAATTTTGAAAGCTAAGTGGACGTTTGATTTATAGATTCAGAATTATTTTCAGTTTACGTGTATTTTTTAAAAGAAAATACTATAACGAGCTACGAATTATGACACGAATCCTCATACCAAACACCTCATAAATATTTTCATTTGTCATCCTTTCTTGAGGCGAGTATGGGCTATAACCCGTCTCACATTTGGAGAAGTATTTTATGGGGGAGGGATCTACTTAGGAAGCGTGTTCGATGGAGAGTCGGAGATGGGAGCGGATTGAAGGTGTTTAGGGACCCTTGGTGCTGAGACCCCACTTTTTTACGCCAATTACCAGGCCTTCGGAGGATCATAGCGATATTACGGTGGCCTCCCTCATTTCTAATGGAAGATGGGATTTGGAGAAAATTACAGATTTTTTTAGGGATATTGATAAGGACTTTATTCTTAGTATTCCAATTAGCTGGAGAGGGGGGAGGATATTCCTATTTGGCATTACAATGACAAAGGAATTTACACTGTGAAGTCGGGTTACAAGCTCGAAATGGACTGTCAACGTGAGGAAGGTAGTTCTACTGGCAGTGGAGATCGTAGTTGGTGGAAAAGTTTATGAGGTTGTCGTATTCCTAACAAGATCAAGATTCATGTTTGGCGAGCGTTTAACGAAGCTCTTCCCGGTGAGAGCCGCATTGGCGGGTCGGGGTGTGGATGTTCCTCCTCATTGTTTCAAATGTGGTGCAAGCTACGAAGATGTTAGTCACTCTTTATGGTATTGTTCTATGGCCCGGGAAGTTTAGGAACTTAGGAGACGTTTAGTTCATGGATTAGAATTATTTTCGATTTACGTGTATTTTTTATGAGAGAAAATACTGTAGCGAATCACGAATCATGATTCGAATTAGAAAACGAATCTAGGTACCAAACATCCCCTAGTTCAATATGGCCGAAGCTTAAAAGTTTTAAGGGTGGACACTTTAGTGGCTTATGTCGTTTTATAGCTCAGGGAGGTTCCAAGGAAGATTTGGATGTATTTTGTATGCATAGTCGGGGAATATGGCTCAATCGGAATAAGATGATGTTTGAGAATTCTCATCAAACTGCAAAGGAAATAATTGATTGTGCGGGCCAGTTACTAGGAGAGTTCCAATCATGCAGGTGTTTGGATGGAAAGGTGGTACACCCACCGACTCCTCCCAAGCAGCCTTGGAAACCACCTATTATGGGTCAAGTTAAAATTAATGTAGATGCAGCAGTGCGACGAAATGAAAGTTTTATTGGTGTTGGGCTTGTTATTCGTAATGAGGAGGAAGAGGTGTTAATGGCTGCTTCTAAACGAATTGAAGGAAGGTTTCTCCACATGTTGCAGAGTGCTTGGCTATTTGAGAAAGAATCTCCTTTGCTCTGGAAAGAAGTTTCCATGATTGGGTGCTTGAGTCAGACGCAAACAATGTTGTTCGGGCGATTCAACTTCCTCGGTATGTTGCAGGTGTTAATGAAATGATTTGGGCATTGTTCATTTCACCGATTTAAATTTTTACAGTAAAAATTTTTTAAAAAATATCATATCTAATTTTTTCTGCTACAGTGAAAAGTTCTCAAAAAATATCACATTTTAATTTGAATTAAAAACTCGAATCTACGAAGTAAACGAGGTCTTAATATCATTAACGATATCAAATCTAATTTAGATTTGATTTCTTGTGGTTTTATTTGCTATGTATCATGTTCAGAGAATTACGTAGCCCACGTGTTAACATTTTTTGTGTTTTTTAATTTGTCTGATAAGTTATGATTGAATTATAGTCCGAGATTTATCTGTTATTTTATCCAAATTGATTTAGTTTCTATTAAATAAAAAAATACTTTATACTTCAAATAAAAAATAAAAATAAATATATATATATATATATATATCAAGGAGAAAACTGCCTTCTCCATGGTCCTCGCGAGCGCAGCTTGTCGATTCTTCGGCGTGGCTGCTGGGCTGCCGGAAGGAAAGGATGTGAAGATAGGGTTGGGCGGATTCACGCCCCTCGGCCTCGCAATTTGATCTCTCTCTCTCTCTCTCTTTCTCGCTCTCTCTCATCGTACACACTCTCTCCTCCTCTGTCTCCCACGCCGGTATACAAAACAGAGACCTTCGTTGTCACCAAGGTTGTCGAATCCAAACTTGCATCAGCAGGACTCGAAGTGGCAATCAAATTGGCCTCTATTTTAATTTTATTAATTTTCTTCAAAAGGAAAAATTGAAAGGTTTCTTCCCTTTTGATATGTTCTTTGATTTTGATCGGATATTTTGAGTAGATTTTCCTTCAATACTTCTTAAAATTGTTAAGGAATCTGGAATGGAACAATTATATGCTTCTCTTTGCACCCTCTACCAGGGGGAAAAAAGAATCAAGCATTTACAAATTTAGAGTGTTGGAAGAGCACATTTTGTGGAAACACTTTTCGTTGATAAAAGGAAGCCGTTTATTGAATTCACTCTTGTGGCAACAAAAACCGAACTAAATTAGAAATCTGAAATTGAATTACCAAATCGGAATCTCTAATCCATCACATAGTGAAATAGAAACATTAGTAAGTATCAATCATCAAAAGACTGATTCATACTCTGATTATGCTTTGGTGCCTCCCTCTCTTCTGATCTTAAAACTTTTCTGTCATACCAAACAGCCACCAAAATATACAAAACCAGATTGGCCGCAGTTAATGCAGCCAAAACCCAGTAATACTTATCCAAGCGACTCATATTCAGTGTATCTTGGACCCAACTAGGATTTCCTCCGCTAGAACTAATCTTATCAACAAGAAAAACCGACAAGACACTTCCCATGTTTCCAACTCCAAAAACAGCCATAGCAAAGTGAGTCATATACCTATCCATAGACGCAGGGCCACGATCACTAAAGAAAAGTTCAATACTTTCATGTGAAATCCCATCTAGGCCGCCGAGAAGAAGAAACTGTGGGACCAACCAAAACATACTCATGGGAATTCTCTCTTTAGGTTTGTCAAGCAAGCCATGGCTTTTGACCACATCTAGCCTTCGCTTCTCTACTTTGGCAGCAGTAATGCAACAGTGTACTGCAAATATCATTGACACTGCAATTCCAACTCGGATTGCGTACCGGCTTGGTGACGATCCATTTGAAGCCAATCTGGAATAGCAATTGGAGAATTGAGACTCGGCTTGATCTCGAAAGAATACAAGGATCGTAAGAGGTACGCTTAAGCGACCAAGCTTGCGGTTCATGTGGTTTGCTTGTTCAAGGAAGTAAGTGTTTCCAATGGAATATACAACTCCTAATATGAAGAAGGTCGTGCACATAGGAATCATGCATAGAATGCTCTTGGTTTCTTCTACTTCTGTGACAGTACAGAGTTTCCACCTATTTTGTTGTTGGTCTGTTAGTAGAATTGCAGCCTTGTCTAGGCACCTGCATTTTATAGCATAGTGTCCATTTTCACAATTAGTACTAATCAATTAAAAAAGAAACATGTAAGGCTTAAACCTTATAATAAGAGAGAGTGAAAAAGGTTTTAAAAAAAAAAGAATTATACCTGAGGTGACGAGTATGACGCATTTTGTGAACATTGTTGTCATTCCCCTCATACAACTCAGAGGCATCTTTTGGGCATTTGTGGAATACTTTTGATGCAGAGGCAACAATGACCCTAAACACAGCAGTTAAAGGGCTTCCTTGAGCTGTGTCATAATCATATGAGCCAGTCAAAAAAATAAGTGTTGCCATCACCGAACATATGGCTGTGACACCAAATCTAATTGACCATGGCTTTATGTAAGGAATTGCTACAGCTCCAATTAAAGGGACGAGGATCACTGCAAAGACGCCTAAATAAAGATGCAGCTTATCTTGATTGCCTGACGACTTTTTATGCTCCTCCGTGAGTATTGACAAAGATGTCACATGACCAGATAATCCCACAGCTATAAGAGCTAGTGCTGTATAAAAGAGTGTCTTCTGCCCAATGCCAACACACTCGGGCTTATATTCACTGCAAGTGCCTGCTACCTTTGAAAGGACTGGCGGAGTCGACATTGACAAAAATCCTAACCCCTGATTGGTTTCAAATTGATTATGAAATTCTCCATAAATTAAGACCAATACAAATAATTTTTGACAAGGAAGATACTTACAATACTGCAGGCAAAGTTAGAGAGTAAGACCATCCAATAGTTACCCATGAAAGTATCCACAATATATTGCATAGTGAATGGCATTATTGCCGTCAAGCCCCAAAACACATTGACAATTGCAGCAGCATGTGTGTAAGTGAGCTTCCAAACATCTGTTAAGTATGTTATCAAAGTAGATATCGAATACACGGCCAGTATATCCACCCATGCCAGAACTACAAATGAAAATGTTCGAGTTAGATAGTTAACTACATTTAAAATTCAATAAGAAAAATTAATTGGTTTATAGACTAGTGCACTAAACCTTTTGAGTGTGTACGTACTACCCACCAGTGATTTTTAGAAAGGAAGATGCCATTGTTTTTGAAGGACTTTTGTATGCTCACACCTTTCTGAACAGAGAGAGAAAAAGAAGACGGAAATTGGATTCAATGGCAAATTATCATGAGGGAAAAATGATGAAGAAACTGATACTAAAAATAAAAATAGTTTTTTTACATGTGTAAATATAAAAAGGAAGGGATATATGCCAATAGCTTCAACATGGTGTTACCTGAAACTGGATTTAGATATCTTTCTTCAATGCAAAACTCTCTTCGGGATTTGCAATCGGACTTTGGAGCAACTAATTAACATTGTCCTCATCATCTCGAGGAAATTATGTATAAACGAGAGAAAAAAAAAAGGCTAGAATTACATGTGATATGTCATTTGTTTCATTACCTGCTTCGCAACCTAGATCTTCTGCTGCCTCTATTTAAATCAGCAGCCTTTTTCTATTTCTAAACATGAAGGACAAAGCACATGTTTAGTGAAACAAGCAAGGCATTTAGTTTCATCCCATTATAGAAGCAAATATATATTCTTTAGAACTTCTATAGGATAAAGAAAAACATGGGACAAAAAGATTCTTAAGAACTTTTGAAGGCCAATCTTTAAGCCTTGCTATGACAAATAAAATACAGTAATGAACTATTTCTAGTGAATCCTAATAAAGAAACAATCACTCTTCAAGAGTTAACAATTTGAAATTATATTATTGAACTATGTCTATTTAGAGTATTCAATACCAGCTTCAACTTAATAAAAAAAATTTCTGACAAAGAAAAACGTGAATTAAACGAGAAAAGCTAGAGAAGACCTTATTGCAGCAAAGATCGAGCTGGTTTTTTCTATTTATCTTGTGTACAACACAATCTGGGATCTTTATAATCTATTAACAAAGTAGTGAAAAGTACTCGATGTTTCAACAACTGGGGTTTTGGATTTCAGTAAGTTATAAGCAGGCTATTATAACAAAAGGCACAGCATATTATATTGTAGAGACTACTTTGACAGAAACAGGAGCATTATTAACTAAGATCACATCAAATCTTCTAATTCAATCTCTTTCATGTTTCGACATCGATCCACTGATATTCTTTCATGTTTTCCAATTCAATCTCTTCTGATTCGCTTCTTCTTCTCCATATTTTCTGATAAATTTTTGTGAGCATACAAATTTCGCTAACAGAATGTACACAAATATTGTGGCCCCAACAAGAAAATGATGACTAATGGAATTTCTGCATCAGGTTAATTATGTTTTTTAAAGGCTTTAACCAAACCTAGCCTTGGTTTTTTCCACTTTAATTAATCTGCAGCAGCATAACTACATAAGACTGCAAATATCATCGACATTTCTCCTCCTATAGGGGCAGCAAACCGTAAGAGGGATTGAGCTAAGCAGTTCGACGACGTTCCATAGATTCGTTTGAACAGTGATTTTGAAAAGCCGTCAAAACTTTAGCCGTGTTTGGAATTAATTCCATTTTTATTTTTTACGTTTTTTGATAAAGAAAAAATGAAAACGTTTTTAAAACGGTATTTGGCGTAATAAAGACAAAAAATAATGATTTTTTGGTTTAGTGTAAAATGAGATAACAATCAAAAATAATTTTTAGTCATTTTTCATTTTTTATTTTCGTTTTCTCATCTCTCAAGCATAGAGTAAGAGAGACACATTAATGGGTTTTTTTATACTGAAAACAATCTCTTGATAAAATTACCAAACGCATTTTCAAAAATGATTTATGTTTGAGATTAAAAACGTTTTCATTTACATTTTTATATAAAAAATAAAATTATTTTAAAACGAGTTCTAAACGCACCATTTGTATTCCAGCTTGTTAGTTAAATTTTATAGATGTTGAAACTAATAATAATTCATAATGTATTTTTGATCTAGCAGCTCTGTCATTTTTTCTAATATATATATATATATATATTTTTTTTTTTTTCATGAAAATTTTTGAGGACTTAAAATAATAAGTATTCACTTTATTTGTATGCTTTGATTGTTCTCTATGAAAATATTGATGACTTGAATTGGTCCTCTTGTTATGGTAATAATTCTAAAAATTAAAATTTGTATATTGACTTCTTTTTTCTTTTCAAAAGGAAATATTCATAATCATCAAAAGGCAATACAATCACCAATTCACACTCTAATAACCTCCTACTACAGGAAATACAGTTCCCAAAAACCACTTGTTCCACCTGCAAACTCAAATGAAATACTTAAGAGGATAGTATGTGCATTTTGGTCCTTGACAAAATCTTTGGGTGGGATGCAGAAGAAAACATGTAAATATGCTTAATTTATGTTACTAATCAATATTTATTTATTTTTTTTTTGTTTTTTTTTAAGAAAATCAAACATAAATTTTACATTTGTTAAATTTTCTTGGCAACCACCGGGTTTGGCATTCTAAAACTAGGAGACATTTAGTTCATTGATTAGAATTATTTTCGATTTACGTGTATTTTTTATAAGAGAAAACACTAGCGAACTATGAACCATGATTCAAATTATGGTTTGAATCCTCCAACTAAACATCCCCTAAATATTGACGCCACTGTGGTAATTCTTCTTTTTGCAATTGGGGCCGGGCACAACTTCTCCCATCTCCTGTTTTTTGTACTTTTCACCTATTGGCAAACGCTCTCTTGATACTTTTGTCTTTAAGAAGACGTTTGGTTTATAAATTCAGAACTATTCTCATTTTACGTGTGTTTTTGGTGAGATAAAATACTGTAGCGAATTACGAACTATGATTCGAATTATGGCACGAATATATTTTTCAAACGTTTAGTAAAAAACCCGTTCTTGTATTGACAATTTGTGGGACCCCTCAATCAGTTAAGTTTAGTTTTTAGTTTATAAATTCGATTAAAATTACATTAAAATCTGTTTAATAGTTTATTTTTCAATAAGAAATCTCTTAAAAATATGAAAAAAGAAAAGAAGAAAAAAAGAAAGAAAGAGAAAATGCAAAACTTAGTCGGCAGAGACAAACCAAAAGAATGCTGTAGTACTTATTCTTCCGTGATCAGTGATTAGTGAAAACATACTTGCAGTGAGACCAATAGCGATTAAAAGGTACAAATTGGACAATAATGTCTCATTCAATTAATCGATTTAAATTTTTAATTTAAATTAAAATATGATTTTATATTTAAATTTTTAATTTAAATTAAAATATGATTTTATATAAAAATTTTTAATTGTAAAAAAAATTAAATGTAATTTTTTTATGAAATTTTTAATTTTAAATCGACGAAATTAACAAAATCTGAATAACTGATTTTAGCACGAATCTTAACCGCAACACAAAGAAGAACCCGACAAGCAACAACATGTGACGCTTAAAATCTGACTTTTCATATTGCCAGATGGAGAGTAAATTAGTATGATATTAATTACGTTTATCGGACCCCACCACACAACGCCCCCACGTGCTTGTAGTAAACTAGAAACGCTCAACTTCAAATGAGGCTGGGCCCAAGATCGATCCAATCTAAAATAGTGAAGATTTGGCCCACATCTTCTAGCTTAAGAAGGGACCACGTTAGACCAGAATTGCAACTATCACACACAAACTAAGAACCTCAAGTTCAATACCCGACATAACCTTTAATTGGTATGAATAATATACTTAATATTAAATGTTCCTGCTTTTTGATCAATTACAAAGTGAGGAAATTATCTAACTTAAAAGATGCATTCATAGTAACAGCCTAGTGTAGGTTCATAAAGTCATTTATTCTACAGAATTTATTGACACACATGCTACATTTTTATAAGGTAGATGAGGATTCATTCTGGGTTGTAGATAAAAAATGAGAGAAGGTAGTAAATAGTACATTTATAAAATTAAATTAAATAAATAACACTAATTTAAAATTATTTGAAATAAATAGAAGTTTACTATGTAAATATTTTATTGATGATTAGTGAAAAGAATTTTTTCACATAAATTTATTTTACAACTGATAAAAAGATTTTTTTCTATGTAAATAAAGATTTTTTATTACGTAAATTATTTGTTACCAGCCGTAAATGAAACAGTTACACAATAATTTTTTATTTATTTTAAATAGTTTTAAAATATGCTATTTACTTTAACTTAATTTCAAAATTTTGTTATTTACTACCAGAAACTTTTGAATAACCAAGTAGGTTTAATGTCCTGTACCAATTAATTAGACAGTTTTGGGTGTTGTTTTTCCGTTTGAAAGGAGAAATATATTTCATACCATGAAAAGGCAATACAAACATCAATCGACACCCACATAGCTTTGATTATAGGAAACACAAAATTGACAAACAATCCATTTGACTTATAAATATGAATGAAACACGCAGGATAAGTGTATACTGGATTTCACAAACTAATACTCAAAGAGCTACACCAAATATATCGAGTATAGACATGGCTCTTTAACAATTTCTCTACAATTGATGAAAATATCTAATCAACTGATTTTGAGAATTTTATATGGCACGTTTTTAAAATATTTAAAGTAAATAGCATATTTACTTGAAAGTAAATTCTTTATTACGGTAAAAAATTTTATATATTAGGGCTAAATAAATTATTCATTGGTGCACATGCTATTTATTTCAAACAAGTTGTTATTTACTGTAACTTCTGATTATTTGAATTTTTTATGACTTAGGCATAGATATTTTCGTGATTCTGAAATAGAAAGCTTATTTTGTAAAATATCTTTTCCAAAATTTTAATTTGTAAAATGAATTCAGGATAAATTGTTCGCAGCAAATATGAACCAAAAAAAAAAAAAAAACAATTTGGCTATTCTTATTTTGCAGGCCAACTTATTTCGGTGAAGTTTCCCTCTTTTTTTAAGACAAATCTCCGTTAAAATCGATCTCTGCGCTTTAAGCAAGAATTTCTCAACATTCTGATGACTTGCCGCTGCCGGAGGCCAGGAACAACGTGAGGTAAAATCAAAATTCCTCAGATGAACAATCGGAATATGAGAAAACCGTTTTGGTACGACTTTATGGTTAAATTAGGTGGTCAGAAGTTGTTCCTTTGGATTTTAGTTGATTGGTCTGGTCTGTGACAGCAAAGGATATTAAAAGCCGCAATTAAATTGGGCACCTAAATCAGCCCACAGCTCACAACTTTTGATGAATAACCATACGCGCATAAAAAAAAATTATAATAATAATAAAGTAGCCGTGGTGCGCAGCCATGTGATATATATGAGTTGTATAAATTTATGTACGACTATACTTGGGTTACATTATAACAGTTGGTGCAACGATAAAATTAACTGTTGTGGGCGCGAACATTCATGTGTATGTTAGTTTCTTTCAATATGTATTGTAATAATTACCCACAAGAGAAAAGTGGTTCCATTTTTTTCACAATTTTATTTTTATTCTTTTTACAATATTTTCTCTCACAAATATTTAAATTTTAATTTGAGTTTTTTACTCAAACCTAAAAAAAAAAAAGGCATGCTTTTGTAACAATCGCGAGTTGATGAGATCTGATCCGTTGATTTATATCGGTTTTATTGGTGCCCTTCGGCTAGAGATTTCACATTCAGTTAATAGGACATTACTTTAATTATGATAACTACGCTATGTATTATTACTACTATTATTAATCTCCCGTAACATGATTCGGGTAACTGTTACTGGATGGAACAAATTAAGTAGAGATAAAAGAATCTTTTTGCAAATCAATTAAGAGCTAGAAAATTTTGGTAAAAAAAAAAAAAAAAGTATTCGCTACTTAAATTCCAAGAAAAACATATACAAACACCGTGATTCTACAATGAACAATATTATCACAGATCAATCTTATTGCTATCTTATGATGATGATGATCAGAAAGTACCCTTTTGGAACAATATTGAAAAACCAACATCATATATTATATTAGAGAGGTAGAAATTATATCTATCATGTGGGATGAATTAAATATTACTTCTTAGATATATATATATAT